CCCCCCGGGCAAGACAACTGGACCGAAAACACAGCTTTGAGTCCAACGAGGCGAGGGAGAGACCGTCATGCGGGCTGCAACCCATACGACTGAAGTCTTTCCTTTGCGCTAACTGACGGCCCGTCTCTCAACAGAAATGCGACGCAGAGCGCCAGATTTGCAAGTATAACCGTTTTTTCGCCACGAATATGAGAACAGGCCGTTACTGTATAAACAAGAACCCTCGAGTCGAGTCTTGCCCTGGTGATTCTCAGGTAAGTACATGCATGGATTAAATATCTCGTCGTTCCTCCTTCTCGTCTCACACCCCGCACACAATATATCGATGTCCATGCGCGCCTCCCGCATCGCTTTCGACCTACTTCCATGCCGCCGTCATTTCGTGTTCACTGACAGTTGGGCCCCGTACGTGCTTTTCTAGTGCCGTACGACTGGCGAGACGTGTGTTTGCCGAAGTAATGACGGTCAAGTGATTTGCGACCCGGACGAGGTCATGGAGCAGCTTCTGTGCGCCGAGTGACGCCACCGGGCGTGACGGCCAGGCACGTGTGGGAGTCGTGGGGCTGGAAGGGATTCTGTCGATCGTCACGTCTTGTTGCCAACATTGAGTCGATAATTCAGTATCTCCTCCGCCGTCGCAGAATACGCAAACAGCGCACCCACAAAGATCGTGCCTTGTACTCGGGCCAAGTTGACATCACCAGCAGTCGAATAAATGTCGCCGCACCCATTCCAACTGATGGTACTTCATAATGTACATTCTATTCGGTTTCTAGAATGCTAGTGTTCAAGTCATACCGCGCAGCCGCGCACATAGGTCCAAGACAGAAAGGGGGAAAAGCCAAAAGAGGAAGCCAAAAAAGAATCGAGCCGCCCAACGCCGTCGTAAACGCCCGCATATGCACACACACGCAGTCCCACGAACCATACCAAGGCAGCAAGCGATCTGCCTCCCAAGGTCCAAGGCCTCCCTCCCGCGTCGTCTAGTCAAACATGCTCATCCAGACAAACGTCCCCAATGACCCACCGACAAGCAAAAATGTCAGGATGCCCGCGCCGGCCCGGTCTGCCGTTGTGATGGGCTTGGGGGGCTTCTCGCCGTTGTCAGCGCCGCCGCCGCCGGCGTTGGGGTTGCCCTTGCTGATGCCGCCGGTTGAGTTGGTGACGGGCGAGGGCGCCTCGTCGATGAGCAGGGCCGAGACGGCGGCGAGCACGTTCATGGCCTCGCCGGCGCCGGTCGTCTTATCGACAGCCGGGTCGACGTATGAGCCGCCGCTCCAGTAGAAGCCACAGGCGCGGCCGCTCTCGCCGCCCGTGCACTGCTTGACCGCCGCCTCGGCCGACTTGCGCAGCGTGGGCAGGATCTTGTCGCGCGTGTAGGGAGCCACCTGCGTGACGACGGAGAGCCAGCGGTGGACGTAGCCCTTGAAGGAAAGCATGTCAGGCGAGCAGGCGCCCTTGCGGCCCTCGCAGGGCACTTCGTAGGCAATGTCCTTGGGGAAGAAGATCTTGAACGTCGACTCGATGAGCTTGTCGACGCGGCCCTTCCACTTGGTGTCGCCGTTAGTCTGTTTCAAGTCAGTCAGCCATTGTGTTACAAGCAAGACGAGTGTATGACAAGCCGTGCTAACGTACGTAGTTGTACATGAAAGCGGCGCCCTGCAGCATGACGCCGGCGTTGTAGGAAAAGGTGGCCTTGTTGATGTCGGTGCAGTTGGCCTCGACGTGGGCGCCGTCGTAGACGTGCCAGCTGTCGTGGTCGATGTAGTTGACGTTCCAGAGCCAGTCCCACGTCTTGTCGGCCCAGTCAGCGTACGTCTCGTTGCCGGTGTAGCGCGCCAGGCGGGCACCGATGTTGAAGAAGCAGCCGTTTGCGATGGCTGCGAGAGAGTCAGCATGAGCATGCAAGGGGCAGGTTAGCGACGTAGCATATGGAGGAGGGCCTTACTGTTCTTGTAGTTGTAGCCCGCGTTGGAAAAGGGAATCTGCCAGCGCAGGCCGCCGTTGCATGTCGTGTCGTGGCGGCTCGGGTCGGCCATGGTGTGCCAGACGGCCTGGGCGAGGGCGAGCCACTGCGGCTGGTCGTCCGGGGGGTTGGGGAACTTGTTCTCGGCGGCGAGCATGGCCGACATGCCCCAGAAGCCCTGGTCATCGTTGCCCAACGAGGCGGTGTGGTTGGCGGGCATGTAGTTGCGGTTGTCGCCGACCTGGTGCAGCATGCCCTCCATGACGACGTGGTTGTAGCTCGCGTCGCCGGTCCAGCGCCAGTAGTCGATGTAGGTGCCCATCATGGCGCCGCCCTCCCACCAGTAGTACGGCCCAGCGGGGGGAGGGCCGGGCAGCGTGCCGGGGATGCCGCCCGTCTTGTTGCCGGGGTAGAAGAGCATGAGGTCGTAGGCGAGGGTGCGGGCGGACTGCCGGATGTTGTCTTGGGTGGGTTGTCAGTCGGGCCGCTCGGTGATGCTATCATGAGTTTGTCACGGTCCGGGGATGAGTACGCACCTGGCGTGTCAATCTTGTACGTCTGGGCGTCGGCAACGGCGCCGAGGAGGAGGCCCGCGCCGAGGGCGAGGCGCTTTCGGGACACCATTGCGTCGTCGTCTTTGCGCGCCTGTCAAAGGCGTCGTGAAGGAGGCGGCGGCAGCGGCGGGGGGGTCGGAGTCGCGGGTGTAATGTGGTGAGATGGAGAAGGTCTCGATTCGTTGCCTTGCCAGAACGCTGGAACCGATGGAAGGTATCGCGGATACTCGGGTATTCAAGAAGAAGCGTGGAAAGTAAAGAAGCGGTCGTTCCGTGTTTCAAAGCGAGTGTCGTCGAGTAATGGTAGTGGCGCTGGTGGTGTTGGTGGTGATGCGTGTTGGATAGATGGCGAGATCAAGGGATCTCAAAGCGAGCGGACGGCTGGCCGGGTGGGCGCAGAAACACAAGGGCGAAAAAAGCAACGAATGAAGTCTTCTGTATCAATCGTCGCGTGGCATGATGGTGAAAGGAGGGCAGAAGTCTGGGGGAGAGTGGCAGCAAAGGGAGAAGTGTCAAGCATCACAGCAAGTGGAGGTGGTCGGGTGGGCCGGCGGGAGCTTTTACTTGCCTTGCCTCGCTCAATGCTGTACCGGAAAAGCAAGCAAGCTCAAAACATGGCAGGCCAAGCGAGCGAGCGGGCAATCCGGGAAAGGGGAGATGCGTGAAAAACGGGCAGCCGGCCAGGCCAAGGTTGCGGGCGGCATGCCCATCAATGCCCACCCCCCCATGCATCCCGTCAAGCCCGTCCATCCAGCAGCAGCATGCGACAGCAGCAGCAACAGCAGCAGCAAGTCAGTCCCAAGCAAGCAAAGCCGCCAAGGTGGGCGCATTCATCAACCTTAGTTGCTTGGCCAAGAGCCGCCGAGGGGGGGGCAGTGCAGGGCAAGCGGCCAAGCAGATGCGCGGACTCGGGCTTGGCGGGTACCTTGCTTGGCTCTCCTTCAAACTCACTCACAGGGTCGCGCGCGTCTCCTTTTTCGTCCCTCCTTTGCCAGCGGGCGGGCGGGCCACTTGACCTTGTTGACTCGGACGGCGGCGACGCCCCCTCTTGGCGTCACTCACAGAGACAGATGGTGCAGCATGGCATCACGGGTCGTCGTCCTTTTTGCGCGTGACAGGATGGGAATCGTGACATGCCGCCCCCCCCCCTTCTGCCCCCCGTGGCCCCTCTCTGCCGGTCGGGTCCCCCATGTGCCGGGACAAAGACGGGCAACAAAAACAAGGTGTTGATCTGATGGTGGGCGGCGCAGGCGCGTCAGAGGGCGAGGGAAATTTAAGGTAAATGTTAAGGTTGACGGGGCCTCTTTTCCCAAACGGGACAATGGGCGGCGGGCGCATTGGCCGCATGGGCGCCGGGGCGTCGCACCAGCGGCAGCAGCGCCCCTACAAGCAGCCCCCCTGGCGCCTGTAACTGGCTGGCGCCCGGGGCATTTGTCGTCGGGCCCATGGATCATCCATCCAGTCATTGCGCCGTTCAGTGGTCAGAGGCCGCCGCCGCCACCACATCCACCACCACCACCACCGCTGCCCAGCAACTCCCTCACACCCCCCTTCGCCGGCCGCCACCTCCATGACCGCAACATTATTTGAGGTTGCGGTGCTGCATCTGGCATGGCGGATGCTTGGCGACGGTGATGAGACGAGGCGACAGGAGCTGCGTTACGCGTACTGCAGTGCTGTAACCGACTGGCTGCTCTTGGCCAGACGCCGGGAGGCTCGGATCGTCGCAGCAGACGTCAGACGATGGGGACTGGCAGCTGCTCGGCGGCTGGACGAGCCTGGTAGATTGGAGTTCGTACCGCCTCGAAGAGGCAGTGAGGGCCTCGAGGCTCTAACTGCGTCGCAGCATTCTGTCGTGCAACCCAACCCGCGCGGCGAACGGCCCAAGACCTGTCTGCGGCGGCGAGCTTCCACGGTGCTGGCTCAGTGGTCGGTCACCTCGCCCTTGGAAGGTTCTTCGCTACCGCCGCAGCGGATCGGATGCGCCGCAAACCCATGCAGTGCCATCCAATTCGGACGCGCCACCAATTCCATGCGTCTTCAAAGCTGCAGCGCCGCAATGTTATGCCAATGCCGTCGACACGAGATGAACACGAACCCGGCGCTCGCAGCCCGCTCGTACGTACGGATCCATTGCCATGGCCAGCCAAGAGCCCGTCGGCCAACTCAACACGCACAGCGCCGTCACGTTCCAGGTTGGCCTCGCAACCCCCCCGGCCCTGGCGTGCTCGTCAAGCAAGCCTGCTGCGGCGTGGCGTCGGCGGCACGCGTGCGCTAAACTTTAAACCACTCGCAGGGCATGGGGCCTGGGGCCCTGCACACCGGAACAGGTCGCTGGAACGCCGCTGGAACGAGCCCTGGAACACCAGACTCAAGGGCAGGCTTGCAGCAGTTGTAGGTACGGGCTACAACAGGAGGCTGGCGGGGGCAGCACAGGCGGGCAGTTGGCAGCTGACAATTGACGCGGCCATTCCATCACCAACGCCTTCAATTCCACCTCTCCATGGCGCCACGCCCAACCAACAGCCCACGTCCCCGATTGACTTGATCAACCAACACCGCTGCGAACCACGAATCCCGCGCAGCCGTCAGTGTCATGACCCATGCGCGGTCCCGGCGTTCAGGCTCGCTTCCTCCCGCCCCTGGTCCGACCCAAAAAGCACCGACGACGACGGTGCACCGCTGCGTTGGGAGACCAACAGGCGTCGCTTTGATGCCAAGAACGATGCAATACGGCCATTTAATACCAATACGGCACCCCCTTCTCAGTTCTCCGGCGGGCAGCTGCCTGCTACATGACGACGCCCAATGTCTCAGTCGCTCCTCGTATTGTCATACCTACATCTCCCGCCGTGGGCTGGTGAGGGCACCTTGCCCTGATCACGAGACGCCTGCCCCTCCCTGTACCCTGCCTCACCTTGTCCAGCTTCGCCAACCAAAAGGCTGCTCGCCCACGCCGCGTCTCTCATGTTTGCCCGTCAAGCCTGCTCGACCGGCGCTGCCGCTGCCTCTCGCCCTCCGAACCCGTCTCGCAGGCCCCGAGTCTGCATCGTGACCAGAAGCACCAGCAGCGCGAAACATCGAAGCCCGCATGCCGACCCGCGCGTCCACGCCCACGCCGCCGCGATGATGGCGCTCATGAAAACGAGCGCTGTCCGTGCCTCTTGGACGGCCCCGATCGCTTGCGGCGCCGCCTCCGCGACACCGCGAACCGAGACAATGCTGCCGCCAACGGAGCTGCAGCTGCATTTGCCGTTTCCCGCCGGGTCCGACTGTGCCTGCATCCGCGGCCCGTCCTGGCTTTGATCGATACCGTCGTCGAGCCACGAGAGCTGCGCGAGTTGCAGACGCCCGCTGTCGTCGACGTTCCATAGCGAGAATATTGGTCGTGCCCGAGTGTCCTCATGCGGTCCGCGAGCCGAGGCGGTGCGTAGAGGAGGCATCTCCAGCGGCGGCTGCGTCGTGTGCCGCGCACGTGAGAGCGTCTGCCTCAACAGTGCCATCCCCCGAGTCGCCGTCATCGGTGCCGCCCACGAGCTTCGACCGGTCGCGATATTCATACTCTGTGCGCGACTGGGCCTGCCCTCGGCGAGCATATCTGCCGCCGCCGCCTCCAAGTGCTGTAGCGCCTCTGCGTTTACCTCGGGTACTTTCCATGACGTGTCTGGCTCGCCTTTCGGCCACGGGGTATGTACCGGGGCGTCACAGGTGAGGAAGCGGCATAGAGTGCCCGTGATGGCGGCGAACAACAGACTGCGCATGGTTGCGATCGTGCGTGCGTGTGCGAGCTTATGGTGCGTTCAAGACCCGAGCCACAGGCCGGCGGCTCGGCTGCGCGATGGATGAGCTGTTCATCGGGCGTCTCGCCTACTCGTAGGTCCTTGCTTGCCCCAGACAATGCTGCCGTGAGAGGAAGCAGAGGGCTGGCCTTTTAAACCACCTTTCGCGGGATGATGTGCATGCGGCTGTTTGTTGAAGCAGGTCAAACGCAGCAACAAGAGGCTCATGCTGCGAGCTGAGTTGTCGCCTTGAGCCCAGAATGCGCAGTTTTCGTCATTTTCGAGGAGCGAGGTCGCATGGGATGGGCCTCGCAGCTCGAGGGCTGTCCCCTCGCCGTGACAAAACGGAGGTGTGATGTTGCGCCGGCCTCCCGCCATTGGGGGCCAGCCTCACATGTGCCGTGTTCCGTGAATCAGGGCAGGCTCGCAACAGTGCGTACTCTGAGTCATGGAGCCTGCTCAACTTGGAGCGCTGTATAGAATGGCAACGCTGTCTCCAGCTGGCGTTGGCTGAACACAGAGTCGTGTCCAAGGGCGAGTTGAGCGTCGCCTGACAGATGCCTGACGTACACAGAGGCGGAGAAGCCGAATTACCGGGCCTGACGGGCGTTTTTTTGACGTTGCCCCTGCGCCCGGTGGTGCCTACAGAGAGAGAGCGCTCAGGCCATGACGATGTCGTGAATCTATGTCTCTGTCTGAACTTGGCCAGGATTGGCAATCGATTACTTGAGCAAGTGATTCAGTCGACGACACGGACCATGGCCAAGGGGAAGCATGCATCCGAACCACCATATAATTGCCTATCGTACTCGTAACGTCCATTCGCAACGTGCAGACGCGCAATGTAGAACAGCTCATGAGAGACAACCTATAAATGAGCAGGGCAGGCCATTTCGGTCCTCCCAATACCCAAATCTATCCACACAACCCTCACAACAAGGCCCTCAAATGCATCTCCTCCACCTCAGCCAGCTCGCCGCGCTGCTCAGCTACGCCACGGTCGGCCACGCCAGCCCCGGCATGTCGGGCACCATCGCGACAGACTGGCACGCCAAGTGGACGGTCCAATGCCCGCCGGCCGTCATGGACGACTTCCTCAACCGCTTGACCTGCGTGGACCAGGGCCTCTGCCGGGACGGCGTGTACTCGCCGCCCAGCGACCACAAGAAGCTCTGCGAGGAGTGCTGGTGCGCGCCGCGGCGGGAGCACTACCGCGGGACGGGGACCGCGACGGTCAGGTTCGTGACGGAGACGCCGGCGACGTATCGGTATAACTCGGACTTGAGGGTGAATGGGAAGAGGCCTTCGGCGCAGTGAGTTGAGATGTATGGGCGTCTGATGATGGACGTGGAGGCTGGGCATGGAAGCGCTCCTTGTACAGTCGTCTTGGAGGGACAATGGCAAAGGGCGGGTGGTGAAGCCTGGAAGGATTTCGGCTCGATACAGTTCTCTCTACTTGTCAACATGCAGGCATTTTAATAGTATCGCAGCTGGCTTGCTCGATCGTGTATTCTTCAGGGTCTTCGTTGGTCTTTCTCGCCCCCACACGCCCTTGTTGCATTCGTTGAGTTCGACCTGTCGCGCGCTCTTCTGGAAACCCGAGAAGAGGGATTTTACTCCAGATATTAGGTAAATCTAGCAAGTCACAACATGCCCCGGCAATCTCTGCGACCGAGAAACCC